CTGCACCACCTAGCTGCCCCTCCCCCTGTTTTTCTTATACGTCCCCTCTGCTCCAAGCGGGTTGGGAAATTTTCTGGTTCCACCCTCAGGACTAGGCAATCTAATGATTATAGATCATATATTATATATGTGTTTATGTATGCTTATATAAATTTTAAGCACTTTACATAGATTGCCTCTGTTGACTTCCACAAACCTATGAGATAGGTACTATGGGTACTATTATAATTCCCATTTTACAGATGAAAAAAAATGGAGGCTCAGAGAATTGGAGTGATTTACTCATGCCCACATAACCTGTGAGTTATGAGGCAGCTTGGTTTCGTAGTGTACTAGCCTTGGAATTCTTCCTCAGACACTTATTAGCTGTGTGACCCTGGGTAAGTCACTTAGGCATTTCTAAGTTTTAGCTTCATCTCTGTAAAAATGGAGATAATGACAGCACCTGCCTCCTAGGATTGCTGTGAGAATCAAATGAGATGATAATATTTGTAATGCACTTGGCCAACCTTTAAAGTACTATCTAATTGCTAGTTATAATTCGTGAGCGTTCGGGGTAGAATTCAAACCCACAGTTAACTGATCTTCGATACAACACTCAGGCCTCTCCTTTCTGCCTTGGTGCTTACCATTCCCTGGCTGGAATGCCCTCCTTCTCCCCTCACCCCCGCACTCTCTTCCCAAGTCAGTTGAAATCCTATTCTTCAAATCACAGTTGATGTCTAGTGCTTTGCCAACCTTGAAGTACTTTATTATTATTATTATTAAGAAAAAAGATAGCCCACCTTTTCCAGAAAGCCTCCTAGGATTACTCCAACCAAAAGAAATCTTGCCTTTGGAGTCTTGGAGTCAATTTCTAGCTCTGTTTTCCCAATCTTCCTTGCGTAGTAATTACCTAGGTCTTACCTCCACCCATGCCACCATCACCCATCAGCCTGACAGAAAGCTCTCTAAGAGAAGATATCGTGGCTCCAGACTTGGGGGAAAGGGCCTTGAATGCCAAGTAGAAATTGGCTGTATCAGAGATTCTATAGAAGGGATTTCTACATGTTGTGGGAGGTTGGAACAGATGCCCTTTTGGGGCATGGATGGCCCTGGAGAGGAGGTATGTCTGACCATGTAAGGGAAGTTCTTTAGCGGTCTCTCTCTGCTGCATCGAAGTGATTTTCTGGGATAAAGATTAAGTTTAATTCTTAGGACAGAAACTTTGTCCTGAGCCTATTTCCCTCTTTGTAAAGACTTTGGCCCAACCCCCTCATCGTATAGATAATGAAACTGAGACAACAGAGGTGAAATACACGGCGAATAAGTAGCAGAACTACTATTTGAAAGCAGGCCTTCTGATTGCCCAGAGGGTAGAGTTAGGAGCGGTGGGTAGGAGTTGGAAAGAGGTAGATGTAGGCTTGTTGGAAAAAAAAAATTGTTACAGAGGTAGTACTTGGATTTGGAACCCCAAAATCGTAGTTCAAATCCTGTCCCCTGGTGCTTATTAGCTATATGACCCTGGGCAAATCACTTAATCTCTCTGATCTTCACTTTCCTCATCTCCTAATAACACCTGAATCACCTACTTACTTCACGAAATTCTTCAAAAGAACCATAAGATTATGCATAGAAAAGACTTCAAACTTGAAAGCTTTATATAAACCTTTGCTAACAACCATAGTAACAACCTCAACAGTTGATGTTATCCAGATGTAGATTTCAAAAGGCAATGCTTTGAGAGATAATGGGTCCTCCTACACCTGAGGTGTTCAGCAGAGGGCAGATGACCACTCATTTTTTTTTTGGAGGAGGGGTGTCCCTATCTAGCCCAGATTGGAGGTGCAGATACCACTCGGGATCCTACCTACCTTCATCACTGGTCAGCACAGAAGCTTGAACAGCTCTGTTTCCAGTCTAGGTTGATTTGTCCCTCCCTAAGCAGCCTGGTGGTGTCCAGCTTCCCAGGGCTCACCTAATCAGTTTAGCCCTACTCCAGCTCAGAACTGCTGAACTCAGGCCATCCACCAGCCTCAGCCTCTGCAATGGCAGGGACTACAGGCACATTGCTACCACGACTGGCTCCCCAGCTTGGATGACCACTTTTCTGGGATTCCAGAGGTGGGGGGAAGAAACCTGTTCAGGTGAACGTCAAACAGAACGTCAGAACAGAACGACAGACATGAGGTCCTTTCCAACTATGAGATGTTAGAATATAGGTGCCTCCCTTTCTTCCTGTCTCAGGAACAAGATGGAGTGGTCATCTCCCCCCAAATTCACATCATTTCTGCAATAGCAACTAATTCTGTCTTGTTGCTGAGAATCAATTCCGAAAGAATCAGGTCCCTTTGTCAATATTGCCACTTTTTTGAAGGGTAAAATTATCATTAAGGCATTCCAAGAAATAATTAGCTGCTCTGCTGCTGGCAGAGAAAGAGTCCCAACAGATAGCCCAATAATTTAAGTCCCCGTTCCTACTACAATAACAACAACAACAATAATAACAATAGTAATAGAGAGCATTTATCTACAGCTTCAAGGTTTGTGAAATGCTTGGTATACATTATATTATGTGAATCTCACAACAATTCTTTGCTTGTACAGTCAACCAAAGAAATATTAATTTACTGAAGAAATGAATGATCTTCATAACCTTCAGTTGTAAAGTTGTCTCTGCGATAGAAAGCAAAACTTTTTGTCCTGGCATTTAAAGGCCTTTCACAGTCTGACTCCAACCTACCTTTTCATCTTTTTTTCTCATTATTTCACACACTTCAAGACTAAGCCAAGCTGGGCTACTAACAGTTCTATGAACAGATTCTGCTGTCTCTCCCCTCTTTGCATTTACCCAGGCCATACCTCCTGTCATGAAATACAACTCTCTCTTCAACTCTGTCTCACAGACTCTTCTCTTCTTTCGAGGCTTAGCTCAGGGCTGCCTTCTCCATGAAAGTCTGAGCATTTCCGGAGGTGTCCTCTTTCTCTTCCAAAATTTCCTAGAACACTTTGTCTGGATCTCTCCTCTGCTTCCATCACAATCTCCCTTGGATTACGCTTATGTGTGTATATGTCACATCCTCCCATCTCCAACATAAGAAACTTGAAGGCAGGAGCTGTTTAATTTTTTGTTTTTGTATAAGTTCATTGCTCAGAATCAGTGCTCTGATTTTACACAAGTCAGGTTCACTTTTGGGAGTTTGTCAGTGATCGTACCCTTTGGTTTGTGCCCCTACTAAATGTCTCCCTTGGGAGCATCAGAATTCGACTTAGGTCTAGGTTTTCACAAAAATACAGAAAAGGTTTCTCAGTTCTCATGCAAGCCTTCAGGCTAACAAGCCATTATATATGCAGGATAGGTATTTAAATTGATTAAAATAATAACAACAAAAACCCCACTTATATTCAAACCCATAAAGTCAAGACTCCTCCACTTTCCTCTCAGGTGGACCTCTACCTTTTCCAGAAACCTATAGCCATCCAGACTTACATTTCTCTAAGTGGGTGGCCAGAGTCAAGCAATCTACCCAGATTGAGCTTCATTGTTTGTTCAGTCCCAAAGTGTCCTAGAGAATCAACTCTTTTCCGCTATAAATCTTCAAGTTTATAACCTAGTCCAAGGCATAGTGTCTTACACATAGTAGTATTTTTTCTTCAAAAATGTTATCTAATTTTTATTGATGTCTTTTGTTTTTACATCCCATTCCTTTCTAAATATGCCCCCCTTCCTCCTCTATGCAGGAGACCATAATTTATAACAAAGAATAAAAAAGAGGAAACAAAGTAGCACCACAAAACTATTGACTGGGTGTGACATTGTATGCAATATTCCATGATCCCCAGCTCTGCCATGAAGGGAGGTAGCTTCATTTTCTCAACTCTTCTCTGTCCACATTTCTTGGTTAATATCATTACATAGTATCTAGTTTCAGGGTTTTGTTGTAGTTGTTATTTTTTAAAATTTATGTTTTTGTAGCTATTGTGTTTATTGTTTTCCTGAGTCTGCCAACTTAACTTTGCATCTGTTAGAGTTGATGGAATCTACTTTTTTGCTTCTAATTTTTTGCTGTTACAAGAGGTGCTGATAAAAATAATTTGGTGTATATGGGAATCTTTCTTTTTGTCCTTGACCTTCACCCATAGAAGTATCTTAATAAATGTTTGTTGACTAACTTGATTGCATTGTAAACTCCTTATGGGCACATACTATGTTTTTCATCCTTTTTTTTTTCACCCTATTACTGAGCATAGTGCCTTGAAAAGTAGGTGCTTAATAAATGTTTGTTGAATCAAAAAATGAGAGGGAAACAGGGAAGTGAGATGGATGTAAAGGAGGGAGGTAGGAAATGAAAGCAGAATACATAGGAGATCTGTGATAGAAATTCTTCATTCTCCCTGGGTCCAGGGTCAATCTCCCAATGTGGTCTTAGGTACCTAGCTCATTCCTGGGCTTACTGCTTCTGCCACATGACCCCTCCTACTTAAGAAGTGAGGAAGCTTGATATAGTAGTAGTAGTACTAGTAGTAGTAACAACAACTAGCAGTTAAGGTTTGCAAAACACTTTACTCAATTGCAAGAGTCCTAAACTGAGTATCAGTAGACCTACCTGGGTTTGAGTTTCCATTGTGTTCCTAACTTGCTTTGTATAAGTTTCTTTTTTTTCCCCCTGGGTCTCAGTTTCTCTGACCACAAGATGAAGAAGTTGGCCTAAATTATTTTTTTTTTACAGCTCTAGCATTCTATATCATGCTTTCAAAAGTCTCTTTTCCCACCGACATTCCATAGTCTAAGATTCCTTCCAGGTCTGACTCTTTGTGTTCTATGTTCTAAGGATCCTCCCAGTTCTGACATTCTGTGTTCTATGTTCTCAGTGTCCTCTCAGTTCTGACATTCTGTGTTCTACATTCTAAGGGCCCTTATAGCTCTGAGATTCTGTGTCCTATGTTCAGCCCTTGTAGTTGTAATATTCTGTGTTCTAAAGACCTTTCCAACTCTGACACTCTGTGTTCTCTGATTCTAGGATGAGTTCCACCCATTTATTGAGGCCTTGCTGCCACATGTCCGAGCATTTGCCTACACCTGGTTCAACCTACAAGCTAGGAAACGCAAGTACTTCAAGAAGCATGAGAAGCGCATGACAAAGGACGAGGAGCGGGCAGTGAAGGATGAGCTGCTGGGGGAAAAGCCTGAGGTCAAGCAGAAGTGGGCCTCCCGTCTCCTGGCCAAGCTGCGCAAGGACATCCGGCCGGAGTGCCGAGAGGACTTCGTCCTAGCCATCACAGGCAAGAAGCCTCCAGGATGTGTCCTCTCAAACCCCGACCAGAAGGGCAAGATGAGGAGAATCGACTGCCTGCGCCAAGCAGACAAGGTGTGGCGGCTTGACCTCGTCATGGTCATCCTCTTCAAGGGCATCCCCTTGGAGAGCACCGATGGGGAGCGACTGGTCAAAGCCGCCCAGTGTGGCCACCCCGTGCTTTGTGTCCAGCCCCATCACATCAGTGTCTCAGTGAAGGAGCTCGACTTGTACCTGGCTTATTTCATCAGAGAAAGAGGTAGGGAACCCCCAGAATGGATCCACCTATGGGTCATACCGAGTGTATGTGAATGTGTTGGGAGGAGGGAGCAGCACAACCTTGTCAGCATTGGAAGCACGGCCTGGGACAGAGGTGGGGAGCCTGCAGCCTCGAGGCCACATGTGGCCCTCTCTAGGTTCTCAAGTGCAGCCCTTTGACTGAAGGGCCAAACTTGAAAAGGACTAGAGGGCCACATGTGGCCTCAAGGCTGCAGATTCCCCATCTCTAGCCTAGGACTTCACCCAGGCCTATGATATGGAGATAGGTCTGAGGGAGAGACACTGCCTTTCCTTCAGTTTAAGGGGAGACGGAGCCTGCCTTCAGGGGACCCCCCCAGTCTGAGAGGGAAGATGCCACTCCTGCCATCAGGGAACCCCCAGTCATAGAGTGGAGCCAGTACAAATATGAGAACTGTAACTAGGAATTACCGCAGCTAGGACAAATTCATTTGCAGAGCAGGAAGGACAGCAGTTGCTGCAGGAAAAAAGTCAGCTCATTCGAATCAACAAGCATTTATTTAGTGCCTACTGCATGCCAGACATCATGCTAAGTGTTTGGGTTGCAAAGAAAGGCAAAAACAGTTCCTGTCCTAATTGGGGCAGGGGACAGACCACATGCCAACAACTAGAAACAAACAAAATAAACAGGATAAGCTGGCTTTCATCCGAGAGGGAAGATGCTAATCAAGGGGGATCAAGAAGCACTTCTTACAGAAGGTGGGATTTTATTTGGGACCTGAAGGAAGCCGAGTGGTGGAGATGAGGAGGGAATCGATTCCAGACATGAGGGACAGACAATGAAAACTTCATGGAATTAGGAGATGTGAGAAATGGCAAGGTCAATGTCATGGATCAGAAAGAACGTAGAAGGGAGTAAGGTTTATGGAGAGTGGAAAGATAGGAAGGGGACAGGTTAGGAAGGATTTTAGAAGACAAACAGGATTTTATTTTTTACCCTGTAGGTAATAGGGAGCTTTGGACGTTATTAGGGGGAGTTATATGGTCAGAACTGCTCATTCCTTAGAGATTCTGGCTCTTGCCCTAAAGGAAGCTAGAGAGAAGGGAGGGCCCCAGCAGAGGGACGGATGGGGAACAGCCAGGGCAGGTCCTGCCTTGCCGTATCATGGGCCATGGTAGAGGATCGTGAGGCCAAGTGGAGGGATAATGGATGCTGTGGAAGTGCGTGCTCTCTGCCCAATGTTGGTATCCAGAAGTCATTCCCCAGTTGCTTCATGTTCATTATAGCTCTGTATAGCAAGTCCACACAAGGAACTACAGACATGAGACCAAAGTCGGTAGGGGATGGACCCAACAGAGCAGCTCTGCATGCTGCTGGGATTGAGTGGCTAGAACTGGAGGATCTGGGTGAATATGGGGTAGCTTCTAGAAGAAGAGAAGTTTGGAGAAAAATTTGGTGGAGAAGAGGAACAAGGGAAGAGGGTGGAAGGTCCCCTGAGATCCCTCTGACTCTTCTGTGCTCTAGGAATCCTCCTAGAGTTTGAATGATGGGCAGAAGGTAGGACCAGTTTCCACCCTCTCCCTCAAGGTAGACAGACCAAGGCTTAATGGGGTCAGGAACAGCATCAGTAAAGTCCTGAAGGGAAGGAAAAGGGAGTAAAGATACATCCCCTGAACTTTGGAATTGACTTCATGGCTCTAGGAGCTGGAGGGAGAAGTTTGAGGCCCTAGGTCAGAAGCTACATAGTATCATGGAAAGAACCATGGGATGTTCTTATCTGGGTGGTAGAGTGGACAGGGTGCAAGAATTAGAATCAAGAGGAGTTGAGTTCAAATCCTGTATCAGCCACTTAGTAGCTGTGTGACCCAGGAGAAGTGACTTAACTTTTCTCAGCCTCAGTTTCCTCATCTGTGTTGTTGTTCAGTTATTTTCAGTTGCATCCAACCCTTTGTGACCCCATTTGGAGTTTTCTTGGCAAAGATACTGGAGTGGTTTGCCATTTCCTTCTCCAGCTCATTTTACAGATGCGGAAACTGAGGCAAACAGGGTTAAGTGACTTGCTCAGGGGTCACACGGCTAGACATATCTGAGGCCAGATCCGAACTCAGGAAGATGAGTCTTTCTGACTCCAGACTTGGCACTCTATCCACTGCCTAGTCCTCATCTGTAAAATGGGGCTGATAATGGCACCTACCTCTCAGGGTTGTTGGGAGGATGAATGAGATAACATATATACTTTGTAAAGCTTGAAGTATGATCTAAATGCTTGCTCTTTACTGAGAGGTAAATGATCTCGGTTCTAGTTTCAACTCTATTGCCAATTTCCCATGTGACCTTGGTCAAGTCCTTTCCCTTATGGCTCTCTGTGTCTTTATTCATAAGATGAGAGAGGCGTTCTTAATTGTTTCTAAGACTCCATGTTCCACGTTCCCAGTGTTCTGTGAGGAGTTAGAGACAGGGTGTGCTCTGGGTAAGGAGATCCCAGAAGCCTTCCAAGAGTAGATGATACTTGAGTGAGACCTCAGTGGGTGGGTAGGATTCTCACCAGTGGAGATTAGGGGAGAGGAAGGACCAAAGCAAGGACCTGGAAGCTAGAACTGGGGAGCCTAAGCTACAGTGAAGGGGGTATTCAGGGGAGCAGGGGGAGATGAGGCAGGAGAGGGAGGTAGAGTCAGATAGTAGAAGGCCACGAATGCCAAGCCCACAGACAAGCATAAACATACCCATATGTCAATACATCAAGGATTTGGGCTTTTGAAATGATGGGTCCCCCCCAATCATTAACTGAAGACAGAAGCCCCTCTAGAGGTTAAGAGATGGTCTTTGAGAGTTGTTGTACTCTAAAAATCCATACCCATTCTCAACACACGAATACCCTCAGCCAATCTAGTGAGTTTTCCAAGCTTAGTGAGGCTAGTTCTCTGAAGATGGGCATGCAGTCTGTCATCAGATCCATACATGAAGCCTTTTCAGATTGGTAAAACCTTTCAGAGTTTGCCTTTTGCTAGTATGGCCTTTGAGAACTCAGGGTTATCCTCATACCACATAGGTTGGAAGGAGAGTGGAGGAGATTTATTTATACCCAATGACTCCCCAGCCACACAGACCTAACATACTTCACCCAGATCTACCTCCCCTAGTCTGCTTACAAAGGCACACAGGTGCCAAATGGGTTGGGTGAAAATGCATACCCAATGCCTGTAAGATATAATCTAGACACCAACACACAATTGTGGGATGAGTATACAAATGCAAAAATCTGCCTTATCTTCCGGTCATAAATGGAAATAGATACCCCTGAAGATTGCTTTCAGAGAAGGAGCTATGAGGTAGGGACACACACACACACACACACACACACACACACACACACACACACCCCAGACCAGAGTCTAGGCCAGAGAGTTAAGCATTAGAATTCAGCTCAGATCCTAGGCTTTCATTGCTTGAATTGAAGACAGAAGTAGGGATAGAGGTAGGCAAGGATATATAAATCAGGGAGAGAGGAATTGAGGTTAGAAGGGAGAGGAAGAAGGAAAGGGAAAGAGTGATTTTAAAAAGGAGAGAGAAAAAGGGGGGAAAGGTGAATATGGGAAAGAAAAAGGGAGAGAGAGACAGAGAGAGAGTGTGTGTATGTGAGAGAGAGAGAGAGAGAGAGAGAGAGAGAGAGAGAGAGAGAGAGAGAGAAAGAGAGAGAGAGAGAGAGGGCAATAGTTAGAGGACTTGGGTTTGAATCCTGCCTCTGCTACTAGCTGGGTGACCTTGGACAAATCACTTGATCTCTGTCTTCCTCAGTTTCCTTATCTGTAAAATGAGGTGGTTGAACTCAGTGACCTTTAAGGTCCCTTCCTGTTTTAAATCTATGAGAGGCCATAAAAAGCCCTTTTTGTGGGACATGACACCCTGCCCCACAGCTCACTCAGATGCCGTGATGCCAGAGCAGAAAGTGGCAGGCCAGAGGAAGAGAACTCAATTCAGGCTGACAGCTTTGGTGGTACAGAAGAGAGGTCTAGAGACAATAATGAGTATGTTTTGGGAAAGAAATGTTTATTTGTCTACTCATCTATAAAAGAGTTTGTTTTCTGGGTTTGTTTCTGGGTGTGGGGAGCAGGTATTCAAGAAGAGGGGAGCCCCCAAAGCACTTTTCATCTTGTGAGCTAGGCAATGTGTTATTTTTCTGATTTTTTTCATATGGAGAAACTGAGACTCAGGGAAGTTGTGACTTGCCTGTGATAACAGAGCTAGTATAAAAGTGTCAGAGTTAGGGTTCAACCCTAAGTCTCCTAGAACTAGTCTAATACTCTTTCCACTAAATCACACTGCCTTTCAGAAACAGAAGTAGTGAGGAGGGGCAGGAGGGTAGGGTGAAGGGTGTGAGGAGGGGGGCCCTTTGTGCTTTGAGATCTCTGTCAGCCCAGAGATAGATCCAGGCTGTCCCAGTTGCCTGGAAGCCCTCAGCCTCCTCCCCTCCTCCCACGCTTCCCTGACCTTGACCTAGGCGCCCCCCCCCCCCCCCCCCCCGTCTGGGCCCAGGCTTCAGAGTCACCTGATCTGTCTAATTGGTAACAAACTCTGGGCTGTAAATACTCCTGGTGATAAGACCTTAGCTTGTCACTTTCCCTGAGCTGAACTGACCAGCTGTTAAGGAGGCTGGGGGACTGTTTAAGGTAGACCAGGCTGCAAGGCAAGTGGGCTTTGCAGAAGGTGTCTGGGATAGGGCCCTGGTGGCCACAGGCTAAATGCCCTGGGGAGCCACAGAGGAGAGGGGATATTATTCATCTGAGATAAGGAGATTGTTTTTATGAGGGGAATTTTCAGCAAACTAAACTGACCAAAAGATATTGAGTAAAAAAAAAAAGAGGAGATATTTTCTGTGAAGGAGGGCTCGACCAGGAAGCAGGATCAAAGCCCCAAGGCACTGAGAAGACACCCTCTGTGGCGGTCAAAGCCAGCCATGTCTCCCATTAACCCATCAGAGGGACAGAGGAATGGGCCTTCTCCTTCAGCAGGATAGATTGAGG